TAAGGTATTTATTTCAATAATATTTATTATAAATGTATAGGTCAGAACAATCTATACCTAATAAACATTGTTACACAATAACTATGGTTATTGTTCACAATGCTTTTGTTAGTTGAGTTGGTTTAATTTTATTAGCTATCAGGACAAATAGAATGTCCATGATCTTCACAAACATAATTTTATAAAATACGGATATATATTAGGTATCTACAATTTACTCTGCCTCTGAAAAATCTCCGGTCAAGCCTGGGTTGCCCCGTGAGCACGTCTATGTCTGCACATGTGTTAGGTAACTGAAAAAACAATATACCTAGTGAAAACGATTGAATGTCCTACTGTATTATGTGCAGATATATGAAAACTAAAATTATTTTGTATCTGCACAATTAATATAAGTAATTTAATTAAATTGATGATATTATAAAAATTCTAAAATAGTTTTTCTAATTTCACAACTTTAATTACAAAATAAATAAACGAATAAATATGTCAATATAATCATAAAATAAATTGTAACTTCCAGGCATAGGTAATATTTAAAATTTAGACTAAAACAATATGTTTTATTGTTTAATTTGTTAGTTACACACTTGTATACTATAAATAACATCAATTTTTGCATAGAATTAGAAGACCAGATAATGAAATATCAGCCAGACAATTAAGGCGAAGGATTTTCAATGATACACAACTTCTAACAAAAAAATTGTGTCCAGATGTTTGTACAATTAAGTCTTCTGTAACAACTCTTTCTCTTAATTGTGACCAATATATTGTTCCTGATTCATTGCAAGACTTGAACAACGATTTAGAGAAAAGTTTTTCTTCAGAAGAACTCCCAAATTGTAGTACAAATAGTAATGAGTTGTTAAAACCAAATAGTATTTTTCCTGTGCCAACTACATCTAATCAAAATGATATTTTGTCTGAAAAAAATGAAAATTCTTTTAGGAATAAAATAACAAACCTGGGCTGTTACAGAACAGATAACTCATAAATCTTTAAATAAATTACTTCAAATTTTAAAGACTCATTCTTGTCATAGTGATTTACCATCCGACAGTCGATCTCTATTAAATACGCCTAGAACTACAGTTATAAAAGAAGTTTATCCTGGTTACTATTGGCATAATAGTTTGGAAAATTGAATACAAGAATTTTTGAAAACTAAAGGTCATCTAATAAATGGAACTATTGAATTAGTTATCAATATTGATGGGCTTCCAATTAGCAAATCCTCAGGCAGTCAATTATGGCCAATTCTAGGATCAGTTTTTGGTTTTAAAGATATTTTTATTATTGGAATCTACCATGGTAATTCTAAAAAACCTGAAAGTGCTCATTTGTTTTTAGAAAGATTGGTGGTAGAATCCAAACATGTCATAGAAAATGGTATACTTTTTAATAACAAAAAGTTACCTTGTATGTTAAAACTCATTTGTGCAGATGCACCAGCAAAATCGTTCATTTTAAATGTCAAAGGACATACTGGGTACTCAAGTTGTACAAAATGCTGGGATGAAGGTGAATATTGTGAACGAAGAATTTGTTTTTCAGATAAGGCAGGAAAAGAAAGAACCGATCAGGAATTTTTTTTAAAGACTGATGAAAATTACCATTTAGGTGCTAGCGCTCTTGATGAAATTCCATTATTAGGCCTTGTTACCAATGTGCCTTTAGACTATTTGCATTTGATTTGCTTAGGTGTTGTTAAAAAGCTAATAAATTTATGGTTTTGTGATAGCCTTAAAGTGAGATTGCAATTCCGAAAAATTAAAATAATTTCAAATTTATTAAAAAACAATATACACCCATATGTGCTTTTAGAATTTCAAAGGAAACCTAGAGCATTAGAGGGTTATAAGCTTTGGAAAGGAACCGAGTTTAGACAGTTTTTGCTGTACAGTGGCCCAGTCGTCTTAAAAAATGTTTTGTCTGATGAAGTATACAATCATTTTATGACTTTACATGTTGCAATCACTATTCTTTCTTCAAACAATTTATGCAAGGAAGCGCCAAATTTACTGTATGCTCACCAGCTACTTCAACATTTTGTTACATCTTTTAAGACTATTTATGGACATCACCATATCTCACATAATGTTCATGGTCTACTTCATATAGTCCAAGATGTAAGAAACTTTGGATCATTGGATATGTTTAGTATTTTCAAATTTGAAAATTTTATGCAAAAAATAAAAAAACTTTTACGGAAAGATGACAAGCCTCTACAACAAATTGCTCGAAGGATTTATGAGATCACATGTTTTCGCGAAGAAGAAACTATGTCTTTTTTATATAATAATAACATAAGATTTAAAAACCCTCATACTAATGGTCCTCTTTTAAATAGTTGTCCAGATTTTCAATTTTCAACTTTATTATTTAAAAATATGATATTTAAAATTCAAACAAAAGCAAATAATATTTGTGGTCTTACTTCAGGAAAAATAGTTATCATTGAGAATATAATATGCTCCAAAGTAAATAACGAAAGTTACATAATCAGTAAAGAATTTTTGGAAATGAAACCATTGTATACTGAACCTTGTGTATCTTCTCATTTGGGTATTTTTATGGTTTCAAATCTTTCTATGAGAAAAATATGGCCCTTAAATAATGTTAACACAAAATACTTTTTGTGTGAAATTAATTTGGAATGTTTTGCTGCCTTTCCACTTTTACATATTGATAATGATGAAAGACCAAGCTTATGAAATTTAAATTACTAACAAAAGCTTAATTCATGAGGTTAGAATGTTTTAACACTACCTATTTAACATTATTTATTTATTAATTATTTACTATTATACAACTTATAATCTTTAGAAAAATGTTTTTATAAAAGACATTAAATTAATTAAGATTAATATTTCTAGGAATTACGTGATTGTTGAATTTGTTGATGGTGTTCAACTAGTTCCACACAATTGGATATCATCTAACCAGACAGAAACATTTTACCCAGAAAATATAAACTCGAAGAAATATGACAAACTGGTCCTTAATACCGTTCCATATGAGTCTTCATGGAAAACATTTTCTATAAAAAAAATTTGGGGTTCTTCTGGTATTAAAAATTATATTATTGTCCATTATACAAATAATGAATTGTTGTTTTTATTATTATTTAGATAACTTTATTAGGGCAAAACAAAAGTTAAAAATTGCTTTGCAATTATCTGAAGCTGAAGACTTAAATTCTGAGATCGATGAAGTGCTTGCAAAAAAAAACGGAGAGAGCTTGCTAATAAAAGGGTGAATAGACAGAGTACATTATCGCCCAAAATGATAAAAAGTCAAACTTCAAAATTATCTAATTTTTCTATTCCACCACTTCCAAAAGATCCATTTAAGTCATTACCTCGTAAGTATTATGAACAATTACATTATCCTGTTTAATTTAATTATGTTTTTTATATAACTATCATATTTTTTTAGTTGTCATAACACAAAAAAGAAAAGTCTGTAATTTGCAGTCTAACAAGTTTAAACATTCACCTAAAGAAAAAAACTGTAATAAATTAGATGAAGTGTCAATGGATAGTCACAAAAATGCTGGAAATAATACTAGAGGTAAAATATATAGTAATATAGTCTTAGTAAATATCATAAAAAATTATATTTTTACTATAATTTAGTTCCTATAAATTTGTCTAGATAACGAATCTTGCAGAAAAAATATTGGACATTTATACTCCCCTTCTACAAGTCAACAAGATTGGTCGGTTGATAGGACATTTATTGAAGGTAATACAAGCATTAAAATAGTTAATAAAAGACAGAGTTAAAAATCTAAACAACTGTTAATATGCATAATTTTTGCTTTTAATTAATTGCACAATCTGAATAAAAATATTGGTAATTCTCCTTCTTCAAGTACCCAAAATTCATTTCCAAATAACAAAAACAATTTGTACACAAATCATTTAAAATTATACTCGCCTAAAACCAAAAATGCTGGTATGCCTACTTTGTCAAGTGACAAGTGGTAACAAAAAACCTAAATATTAAGAGTAGTAGTTGTAGAATCCATAGCTATACCTAAACTCTGCTATTTATTTAACTTGATATTTATTAAAAATTTATAGTAAATGATCTTCTGATGGCATCTCCTCCAATGTTTAGTCCAATTAAAAGTGGTCTAAAAAGAAGTATTTTGGATATGACACCTCAAAAACCGGTAAAAAATGTTGCTGTGAGAAAACTGTTTCCTTCAACACAGTACAATTCCGATACATCAAAAATAAACGGTGAAGCTATTGGTAAAGAATTGTATTTTTAAATTATCCCTTACATATTTATTTAATCTTATATTAATAAACTTTATAGACAATTATCTGATGGTAACTCCTTCAAAATTGAATAATAGCCCAATTATAAGTTTAAGAGGCCATTTTCAAAGCACACCAGAATCTGCTCATCAAAATGTAACACCTGTAGCAGTCAGTCAACTAATGTCTTCGTCAACACAGTCTGAGACATTCTCAAAAGACAGTGAAGCTAATGGTAAAGAATAATATCATAAATATTATTATACACCTGACCTATTTTAAAAATAAAATATGTTTTGGTATATAAGTATATTTTATCAATTTCAATTGCATTATATTAATTTTATGTTTTCAGTTAACCATGGTTGTATTTTAAAATTTATTACCTCAAAATTACCACAGCTTAATACAAAATTAAATAAAATTATTTTAAATCAGTCCAAACATGAAGAATTGCTAAAAAAAATTTTACAAAATAAAACAGTGCACGATGAGAGCTATTATGACAACACGGATTTAGAAGAATTCCCATTACATAATTTAGATTCCTTAAAAGAAATAGATGGAAAACTAAAGTCAGATACATTATTTTACAAATGTTTGGTAAGGCTTTTATTAAATGTTAAATTACTATTATTTATAAACAAATCATATATTTTTTTTCCCTAGGTATAACGATTGAAAGAATTTGGTGGTAATAATGTGTATATGGTGACCAAATGCATTATGGACTTCTTGATGACTGATAATTTAGGGATGCAAATATCTTTGACAGGACGTGGAACGAATAATAAGAAGAATGAAAAGATGTCACTCATTTCATTAACAATGTTTAAATTGATAACACGTAAGTTGAATTTTTATTATAATATTATTAACTTATATTGTTAAGAACACATTATTATTACTGTTAATACTTTATATTGGGTAATTGATTACCCACCCATTTTTAATTAGAAATGATTAATAATGGTTTTTATTTCTTGTCATATTATTTAACTTGTTAGTAATGAATTTGATGTTTATGAGTGTTATTAATTGAAAATTGTATGAAAATATAATATGATGGAATTCCATTTGAAGTGTATATTATAATTTATAATAACACAGATACTTCATTTTCATCTCATTTTTTTTTGTAATTTCTACTTACTTTTTATATTAACACTATATTATTTATATTTTAATTTAATCAAAACAAATTGGATAAGTGTATATTTTTGAAAGAAAGTATTGGATTAACAGTATGCTAATATTTTGATAATAATTATGATTTAACTAATTACATTTTCTTATGTAAATTTGTATTTTAAATGCAGGGGTAATATTGAAAAATGTATCCGGTTCAACAATTACTAGTATTAATAAAGCGGTTACTGGGTGGTTAAAACATGCCAAGGAAAGAAATGGACGAAGAGAATCATCGTAGTGCAATTAGTCATTGAAATAATTATTTAATGGTCATTACTAGTAGGGCACGGATGTTGTAGTACTAAAAAAATAGTAAAATTGATTGCAGAATTGCACTTAAAATATTAAAAATTGCACTAAAAAATAACAACGTTTTGTTATAAATGTTTTAAGTTTACTGTTATAAATTATAATCTAAAATTCTAAATAATTCAAAAAAAAATATATACATTACATTATAATCATGCCATTATAAATTTATTATATTATACATCATTGCACTGTACTATAAGTGTTACAAAGTATTTAGAAATAAGAAAATAAGTGTTTGTTTTAAATTTTCGAAATAAAACCATCTTCGATTTGGAGATAGTAAGTTCTTATATCTCGAAAAACTTCATTCTACGTCGGTTGATGTAAGCGGAGCGTATTTAAAATAAGATAAATCGCTTACTGTTAAGTCTTCGTTTAAACCATCGAACGATTTTCTTTGTCCAGTTAGTATATCATTGATTGTAATAATGGTTTTAAGTCATATATAAGTTTTAATATTGCTAAAATAGTTGTATAAATGAGTAAATTCGACAAAATTGCAATAAAATTAAAAAAATCCCAAAAATTGCAAAAAATTGCACTTAAAACTTTTAGATTTGAATTCGTACTTACATGAAACGTATTTAAAACTTACTTAGCAATTAATTGAAAAAGTAAAAAAAAGTTGCAAATGCAACATCATCCATGCCCTAGTCATTAGTGATCACTGATAACCTAACATTATTTAAAGTTAGTTTTTTTTTTTTTGTAATAAAGAATAAGTTCTTCTTCAAACAAGTTTTTTTTTTTATTTCATTCATATTTTATTTGCTTACTCGATTAAAAATATAATTTTACAATTATAAAATAAAATATAATATATTATTATAACAATATTTTATTATTATGATACCGTTTTTTTTTTAGCTGATATGTTATTAGTTATTACAATAAAATAAAATAAATTATTTACAATTTACTACAATTTAAATCTGTATATTAAAAATGAATTGATTTTCCCACAAATGAATTACCTTTATATTTTGTTTAAAAATCATTGGAAAGAAAAATAGTTGTTAATTTTTAAAATTTATGAAAGCTTAAAATAATTGAATGGGGTCATGTTAAAATCCCTATTGACAATAAGCTTTACTCATCTAATTATAAATAATTAAAAATGTAAATGTATTTTTTACAAATTACAACACTTAAGTAAGGTTGACTCCTCAATAGGACATAAATAAGGGATATTATTCCAGTAGATTTTTTGGATCTAAAATGAATTCCTTACAAGACTCATACAGGAACCATTGAGACCTTATTGGGATATATTTATAACCTTTTCAAGAAGTTTCCAGGACCTTAATAGACTGCAAACAGGAATATAATGGGAAGTATACAGACCATAATGGTCCATGTTGTATCACCGGCCAGTTGGTTCCTGGCGGGCAGTCTTGTGGAAAGTCTGAACCCGGACATTAGGAATCCTACAGACCGCCTAAGACCTACCCAGACCGGTCTGGGATTTAAACAGGTATTTCCTATGAAGAGTCCCAGAGTCTCAAAAATCAGTCCTAAGACCTTCCTGGGAAGGTCCATGTGTTGTTAGGGAATATACATAATATATTACATAATATTGTACAAGCACAGTACATATACAGGGCGATTTACCGAGCGTGCATCAAACCCCCAAATTTTCGTTTACGATCGTCCGAATCCTGTTTTTTGGGAATTTTCAAATATTATATTACCTATCCTCTAAGACCATATATTTTCGAATTCTTGAGATGTTTGTACTATATACCTATACTTGAGAAATTTCCCGAGGTGATAATGTAAACTTTTGTTTTCAGATGAGAACCACCGCCTTCGAATCCGTTTTTTAAAAGACATTAATATAACTAGTTCAACATTCTGACAAGTAGTTTCTCATTTATTAAAATGTTTAGACAGCAGGGGTTTTAATTATTATAGTACTTAAAAATGGTTTTACAAAAATATATAAAATAATAACGTTAGATTTTAATATCTTATTATACTGGGAGCATCTCTTCAAACTATTAATGTCGATTGATTAATAAATTAATTATGTACTTACATTTTTCAAATCACCACAGTCCATCATATCTTCCAAACCCATTATCGTGGGCCCATTATATCCTTGGGACACAATGTTAAAAACACAAAAATATGTATTCGAATTTTGAATTCAATACGCTAAAATGTTCTAAAAAATGATCCACTAAATGATTGACAGTAGAAAAAGGGTTCTCATTAGAAAAACAGAAGACACTACTTAAGTACAGTAAAAAAATGTCAAGAACTCGAAAATAATATGGTCCTTATATAGTTGTATTTAAAAGTTCCAAAAATCAAATTTGAATAAAAAGGGCGAAAACAAGGTCAAATTGCTATATTTATATACGTATTTTGCTAGGTCGATCACCCTGTACACACATACCGTGAGTTGTCGTTTCTGCAAACGGAATCGGAATTATCATTTCGCGGGGAGGGTGGAAAGGATTTTCGTGCGGCGGTGGCGCTGGCGGAATAGTATATATACATTGCACACACACAACAATGAATTTGGTCGAAAACTCGAAAACCTCACAATATAATAATAGTATATGATGTGATATGCCCGCGATTTTATCGGACGCCTGGCGTATATTATTATTATTATTATACACAGCCAATCGAGTTAAAAGCGCATATCCATCATATTACCAATTTATAATGTGTATTTTATTAATTTTAATACCAACCAATACAGCAAATTATTATTATAATGATGTGAATTAAACTATACAAGTTGCTACATGCCTTAGAACTTTAATTTAAACAAAATGATTTCAAGGAATAAGTTATTTTAACTCAAACCTTAAAATTGCTCTCCTGGACAATTTCATATTAACGATTTAGAACCTTTTCATTCTAGACCCACGAAGCTAAAACGAATTAAGAACGATATTGAAAAAATTAATTGCCGAAAATCATAGTGAAGTCTATTTTAAAGTTATAGCTAATTGAAATTTTTGGTTATCCCATATATATACCTACCCGGCGTATTCACTTGCACGCTGTGCTCGCTCGGACAATTATAATTAAAAACATCCCTTGACTTGTTATGTAAAACTTGTTATGAATTATTTTTGCACCATCATTCTGAAGACCTTGATTTAACTAGGTTAAAAAAATTGTTATTTGTTATACCTATTTAAGCTAGGTAAACTTTAAGCGTTGTACGGGTGCGTAAAACACCGAAAATCGTGAACTTCGTAAGGTTATGCGATAACAACTATATAATGATTTCCGTGAATTAATTTTTTCATCATAAATCTTGTAACTGGTTGCAAATCACTTTTAATTATTTTATATAGTGATATTATTGGTAGGGTAAGTTAAACAACTTATGTGTTGTGAACTTACATACATTTTGTAAACTTACATAAATTTTTCCACCTGTAACAAAAAAAGTAAAAAATATTTATACTTGAATTTTCCATAAATGGTAAAATTTTCAAACTATTTTGACTCTTTTTGCGTTATTTATAGTCATGTGAAAATTATTTTGTAAATTATTTATCAGTTTAAAAATCATAAAGTTTCTTGCCCCAACCACTTTTTTTTTATAAATTTGTAGGTAAAAACTTATATTCCCCTGAACTGGGTCTATGGAGTATGGCCTCCGGCGGGAGAATGCATTAGATATTAGAATGTCTATCACAGATATAAACTACTGTAAATTATAATTTATATTATATATTTGTGATGTCTATAAATTTGAGGACTAATTTGTTTGGTTAAATTTAGTATGTGATAAATAACTGAAATAGAAAACAAAAATACATTGCAGACCACAATCATTTCTGTAAAAGAATACACGATTTATCAATAGACCGTTTATGTGCTGAGTGTAGAAGTTCTATGGATTTATCATATTAAGAAATATATTTTATATCATCTATGGCAATCGCCAATTGTCGAGATTCGTCTGCGACGATTAACAATTCTAATAATTTTAGTGAAAAAAAAAATAATAAGCCATCAGTATGGACAGATAGTTCGTTAAGCCGTACCTATATATTATTATGTAAGTTTTAACACGAATTCGCACATTTCGTTATGTTCAGGTAATTTTCATTAAATATTTCGATAATTTCAAGTTACAGTTCGGAACGAGATGAAGATAGGTAGCTGTTTCTTGGGTGGCGTCACGTACTCGACGTTTGCATTGTTGATGATGCACTCTAGCTAGGTTTCACCGGAAGAGTCGAAGTTTCAACGTAAGTTTGTTTTCATATTATTTTGGGATTTACGTTTTATTTTTAGGCATTATATAATTAATAAATTATTTAATTAATAATTAAAAACATAATATAACATAATGTTGTAGTAAAAGCTGGAAACTGTAGTACCTATATTCTAATTAATAATCCAATTAATGTAATTTTTTGAATTTTTTAAATTTTAATGTAACATTTATTATGCCTACACAAAACACTTACCTAAAAAAATTGAATTTTTCACAAAATTTGTTGTTTTAACGATAAATGACAATTTTAGGTCCCTATTATGGTGAAAGTATTTAATACAAACATACAATTATTATTCGAAAATACATTTTCCTATATTATTATTTACTAAATACAAAGAAACTTAAAAATAAACAATATGATCATTGATTACATACAGAGTAAATATATTTATTATGCATGGAAAACGAAGGTTTATTTTGACTACCTACTTATCGTGTACATATGTTAAACACGAAAAAGAAATAATAACAAAAAAATAAGAAATTAAATATAGGTACATCATAGTAAAATCAAAATATTCATCGCTCCGCTCAGAATCTAAAATATAAATTATAGGTATACCTACCTGATATACAATTAAATTAACATAATATTAAATAATAATTAATAATTTTGTGATCAGCAGTATTCGTAGAAAATGTTAGACTTGGAATTTTACAAATCTAGT